CGGCTATCCATCATATCAGCCTGAATCTGACTGCAGATCTAGAAATTGCAATGTACGACGCTGTAATTGTGACTTAATAAAAGTGGTGCGGGGGTATTATGATGCATGACACGGGTCGGTTCTCAGCCTATGATAATTCTCAGGGCTATCAAATGAGAACTAGACTACAGGGAATGAGCCTTGATGATGGTCAGAAAGACGGGATATCACCTACCTTAGATTGCGCAATGGGCAATGGAATCGAGATGGGGCTGTTACACTTGCATCATACCATTGTGAGACGTATCATACTAAATATATAGTATATATATATATATATATATATATATATATCTATTCAAGGTACCGACAAACTGCAACGTCTAGTCAAAATTGGGTAGGAAACACAGCTTATGTTGTACAATGCATAGCACATGGATACATTGCAATGTAGGAGGAACGATGATTCGGGCAGAATGTCCTTTTTGGCTAAATATGTATAAACGCTGGAATATATTTCACTTTCAATTACGTTGAAAGTATAGTATTTTATAGCACATTTCTCTCTCGATACAGTAAAAACAAAGAAAAAAAAAGGAAAAAGAGAAGAAACAGGTTGGGGTCTTGTGAAGTCATCGGGAAATGAAGATATATGATGGGATGATCTGCCACGTTAGTTATTAGGTGTGGAGTGGCGATGTTTTATACAAAGTAGACCGTTCAATAATGTGCATTTCAACCTGAAATAGCTCCAAACCGATAGAATTGAAACTGTAAAATCTTATAACATTTTTAGTTTCAGATGAAACTAATGGCTTTGTATTTATATATGTACGGAGTACTCCGTACATTACATCTTAACGGGTATAACGGGCATAACGGGCGGACTCCGAACCTCGGAGGTTTCATCCTACCCGGAGTACGCGGGTGTTCCGCAAATATATTGTATTATATATTATTATCTTACTCAGGTATGCCGTACAGAGTATGTAACAATAATAATACATATTGTTAGATATTATTGTTAGATATTGTTAGATATTGTTAGCTGATGTATTTCTTTGAAAAAAGCCCAAACTTGAGGAAAATGAAAGGTGGTGGGTACTCGAGAGGGCGCAACGCTAAACAGATACGGAGTAGAAGATTGCCCAATTGCTTCTGCCGCGTTTCTAGCGCCAAAACCAAGGCCCCTTGTGTTCTGACTGAAACTTGAGAATCGCCACTTATTTGGAACTTACAGTTTTCAAGTTGATTTTCCCAGTAGCAGTTTTTGGCAGGGATCTAGTATAAAAGAGGAGAATATATACACTACTATGTACATTATAGCAACAATATCAGGTTCCAAGGTTGGTTATTGACACTTCATTCTTAGAAGGCTATATAATGATGAAATGTTAAATGCGAAGGCAAATCCGCTCAGATCTCTTATCTGAGATCACCCCTTGCAGATAACCCCGGATTTTGCAGGGTATCTGAGTTTATTCAGCGCCTCGGTTTATCTATCGCTTTATATAGATCTACTTATACGCACGATTCCCAAGATGTGTAGAAAGTGGAGAATACTTTCTTCACAATGAACCATGGGGAGAAAAGCTCAACATTGGCAGGAGAAAGTGTTGCTAGCAGCTCCACTTACGGTGGTTGGCCAACATACTAATACTCATGATTATCAATTCCCCGTTTGGATGGAGTAGATGTATCCGTCTACCGAGTAGTTGGTAGCCCATTGCGTACTTTGTACTTTGCAAGTCAACATAATTTTAGCTACACTACTTGGTCAGAATAACAGGATATATTATCCCGTTCAACAACTCAAAACATAATATTAGAATATCACCATCATTGACTTCTCTTACATGTACAAAGTAGGGCCCATGTAGGCCCTCCAGGGCTGACCAATTAAACCAAAATTAGTCATAAGATACATTACACTAGTCGTTTCAGGTAATTCGGTACATTACCGATCATGACGTTCGCATCCTGCAAGCGGTGTGCAGAAGAACGTTCTTGACTTTTACTTATTATACTTGTTATATGTACTCAGAACATGTATATACCCATATGATCTTTGAGTTATTTCTTAATTTAAAATAGTCAGAGATCTACGAATAGTGCTAAACTCCCGAAATAATATAATTACTTCGGGACCAGCTCGGGGCCAAGATCCGCTAGGAAAACGGTCACGTGGATAAATACCGTAACAGCGCTTGTCCCAAACCGGAAGCGTTGCCATCTCATACCCCGTCTTCATGAGCCCTTGCCCCTGCTGTTTCTCGACTTATCAACTCTTTTTCAATATCACTCTCCCTAATCTGAACCCGTTCCCCTCCAGTATTCAGATTATCAAAGAAATAAAATAAAAAGGGAGCTGCATTCCTTCAAGTGACTCGACAACTTTCTGCCAAAGCGGGACATCATCCGAGGGTGGACTCCTGCGTGTGAACCCGCCCAAAAACCGCCATCCACTCAAAAGTCCACTCATCGAGGGGCACTGACTGTCTCAAACGTCGCATTCTTATTCTCTTCGGATTTTATCTGTGTGAGCTTGCGCTTCAACGTCGGACTCGAAGAAACCCTGTCATTCATAAGCCCCTCGGGTTTGGCGTGACATCGCGCAAGACCTGACAGGGAACTAGGATATCGATTCGTCAGACCACGACTTGGAATTCTTATTATTTTGACCACCAAAAATTGATAGCAGTTCGTCACGATGACTGGTGCCACGCCTATTGATATTTCCACTCGGACGAACTCGGTGTCGCCGCCAGGTCAACAGGCATCCAACCTGACCTCGGCGCTGCAAAGAGCGGGTAACGGCGAGCGTACAGGGAGCTTTTCACACCTTCCCGGAGGAGGACTCGGCGTGTTCAAGGCTCCACCGCCTCGTAAGGACTCGATCGGCGCAGCCACAGCACAATGGGGGAACGGGACGAAACCGATCTCCATGTCGGGATCTCACCGCGACAAAGGCCGCCGTGAGTCGCTCGCAGGAAGTTTGGTGGGTGGTATGAGTTGGGGTGGTGTATCAGTCGGTAGTTGGATACGTGATGAGTGAGTGGCCTGTTCGGACCTAGAAGCCGCGGAGGAACCGCCTACCGTGTGTTGCTATTGTCGCACTGCATCAAGAGCTGACCAAGGAAAATTTCCGCAGTATCATAATGACTGGCACCTCACCATTTACCTTCCAGTCGCCATCTTTCCATTCTTCATCGTATCTCCCGAAGCTGGAAGCGAATTTTATGCGAGATTTTTCGTGCTGCGGTGTGACGTTACCGACGCTCCACGACCTATTACAACATTACGAAGAAGCTCATGCGACCAAGTCCCCCAATCAAGGCCACCGGCCGAGCCAGGGTGAAAATCGAGCTGCCTTGGCGGCTGCCGCAATCGCACAGCAACAGAACCAGCAGCATGGCAGCCAAGGACGTGGCCTGCAGCCCGATCGGAACCTGGACATGCAGCGCAAATTGGGCCAGAATCCATCACCATTGCATCATGCAGATCTAGACACAATCGACGACATGGAGTTGGACGATGCCTTAGGAGATGGAGATAGCTCAGCCTCGCAGATGTTCTCTTCTCAGCTGCACGAGGGTGGACAGGGCGGATATGGTAACTCCAACCAGCCGCAGTTAAATCTGGGTATGCTTCCAAGCCACCAAGGATTTAGCACACCATCACAACCGGGTACACCGATCGGATCTGGACGTCCAATTTCCCTGCAGAACAATCCAACTGTCTCGTCCGTCAACACCCCGACTTTGATGGCCAACCCTCTCCAAAATTCACAATTTCGAAATACGCCCGATTCATCCGGACCAGGGACCCCGGCCGAAATTGACGAAAGCATGATGGGTGGATTCGGTGATCTCAGTATGCAAAATAACACCATGGGCCAAAATCAGAATCAGTTTGGCCGCTTCAACGGGAACAATAATGACATGGTCGATCTTTGTATTGATGAGCCGGCCAAGCGGCTGTTCAGCCCCAGTGGCGGCATGGGTTCGCCCAACGCCCACTTTAAACTCAGTGGAGCTCAATATGGCCCGAATAGCGATATTGCACGGCGGATCCGCGAGCAACAATTGCTGGCCGGTGTTCCCGACACCACCGTTATTCTTCCCAACGAAGAACCCAAGCCGTTCCGATGCCCGGTTATCGGTTGCGAGAAGGCATACAAGAACCAAAATGGACTCAAATACCATAAAGCTGTAAGTTTTGATTTGATACCCCCCACATTCGTCTTATTCTTTTTTATATATATATTTTTTTTACTAACCACTCCCTTTTTCATTCTAGCATGGCCATAATAACCAACAACTTCATGACAATGCCGATGGCACGTTCTCGATCGTCAATCCAGAGACATCAGCACCATACCCGGGTACGCTTGGCATGGAGAAGGAAAAACCCTACCGTTGCGAGGTGTGTGGCAAGCGCTACAAGAATCTAAACGGACTCAAATACCATAAATCGCACTCGCCGCCCTGCAACCCGGATTTCCAACTTGGAGGTCGTAACCTCGCCCTTGGCGGTGGAGTCATGCAAGGGCAGAACATCAACGTTGCTGGAGCTGGCCTCCCCGGAATTGGCGAAGAAGGCCTCATGTGAAACTGTGAATAAATATGTCATTATGTCCATACATACTTCCCAGCTAATTGACGCGAACGATCTCGACGGCTTTCGGGGGTCAGAGCACTCCTGCACACACACGATGTCATGATTTTGAATTGGGTCCGGTGACTTTGGAGTTATTGCTTTTGTTTTTCTCTCTTCAAAAATTGTTCTCTGGTTTACTTATTCACCAGGCTTTGTGATGCCCCTTTGCTTTTCGTTCTGCTGTCTGGTAGATCCCACTGGCATGATCGTTTTACCACCCCCGCTTGATATCCCTCGCCGGTTCCAGGTCCTATCTACCTGGCCTGGTAATAGAGCAATTCTTGAGCGACCAAGACCAAGATCAAGACCCTCTCTCAGCAAAAGAGCTGTCTAGAAGAAGCTGCTTGCACTTTTTTTTTCTTTCACTCTCTGTTCATCTTGCTTTGCTTCTTCATACGGCGTTCGTCCTCTGTAGGAGACAAACTAGGGAATTGCATATCTCCCGAATCCCCCCTCACCTTCCTGTTATTCCTTTGTTTTTGCTGCGTTCTTCCAAAGACGGGCTTCGTGCCTTGTTTCCCGCGTTCGTGGCCCCCTTCATTACGCCCAGTATTTTCGCTCATGTGCTTCTTGCAACGACGAGGGTCGCTCATTCGCGAGCCCGGAAATGCCGCCTTGAGAACCTGGAACCGAGCACCACAAAAAGGTTGGCGAAATGGGATTTGGATGGAATTGACTGGAATCATGTGCGAAGTATGAGGTTCCCGGGGTGGCTCCTTTTCTCCCCACCTTCATACCGTGTTCGCTTTTTCTTCTGTCTCTTCTACCCAGAGATGGGATATGGATTGGACCTGGGTTCTGGGAATCTTAAAAGTGTGATTTCTCGGCGTCGGATTATTGTAGATATGATTTTTTTTTCTTTTGATACGATTTGGCTCTTTTTGCCCATTGTCATTTATCCTCTTTCCCCCCTTGTCTTGCTATTCAATTTTTCTTGATATGTCTTTACCTTTGTATTATTGTAGATCCGGGTTCTTCGAGTTAGACCTAGTAGACTAAATGGGGGTTTAGCACCTACTTATCTATCCCAATTAATGGCGATTTTATCCAAACCTCTTAAGGGGAATGGTTGGAGATGATACCAGGCCTAGTGGAAGTTGTTCGTGATCATAGTTTCATTTGTGCTTATTTTGAAACTAGCAAGATCGATCTTTGGATCGAGTACAAAACCAACCTTGAAGGTATGGTATGGAACAAGGAGAAATAAAAAGCAGGGGAAAAAAAGCAGAGGCAAAACCCATCCTCAATTGTAAGCGCCGTGAGCCATTGAAAGCTCAAAATCAAAGGGAGAAAAACGAGAAAAGACCCGGTTGCTGACAATGTCGATATTTGGGTAGTGAGAATCATAAGAAATATTTCGCTTGCACAAACCGTTTCGAGAGCGTGACTGAAAAGACGTAGGGGTTGGTTTTCGTTTGTGCCATGAGAGAGAGAGAAAATTGTTACAGAGCGAGGAAAGAGATGTCGTCAATGGAGTGATCGTGTTGTTTTGACTACCATTCGAATTCACCTTGGCCCTTGTGGAAGACGTATCTAGCAACGTTAGTATATGCATATCATAGCAGACTGGGGTAGCTTACTCTTTGCCACCAGTGGTCAGGATGCCATCCTTCAACGTGCACTTCCACTTGTTCTTCACGCGCTGGACCTTGTCGTATGTGCAAAGCATGACCTGGCCCTCTGATTCATCTGCGTCATGGTCATCAGCAACAAGGTCATCTGGATCATCCAGGTCCGAATTGATGGCGTCTTCATCTTCCTCCTTGACATCGTCTTCTGCGCCATCATACTGGCCAGTGACGCGAGGGGCAGATGAACTTGACTCGGCGTTAGTGTTTTGACTGAGAGGCGCGGTGAGAGCTACACGGCGAGCGACCTTGGAAGAGGACTCATGCTCTCCCAAGGGACGAAGAAGACCTCCGCCCTCATACTGAGACATGCGCTGCTTGAGATGCTCACGCAGAAGTCGATCACCTTCTCCACTCTCGGCAGCTGCTCTGCGGCGGGCTACCTCTGCCTTCCAGTCAGTCAATGGGTCGTCACCTCCACCATCAGTCTGTCCAGGACCCATGTGTGGGTAGTTCTGTTCTTGTTTGATTGGTGGCATTTGCCCGTGGGCATTGGGGTGCATCTGCTGATATCCTTGTCCAGCATGTGCCTGGGCTTGCATTTGGTGGACAGAGTTCGCGGCTGCGGCGCCGTATTTCTGCTGAAGCGCATTTGCGGCACGGTCGCGAGCCGACTGAGGGTTTAGACCATGCGGAGGCATGGGTGTGGTCATGTGCGGCATTCCGGGTTGGCCATTAGATCCTGGCTCGGTCTTAATGCGAGGACCCCCCATGGGCATGGGGTGCGAGGGCGCAGCTTGAGGAATTGGAACAGGTGAGGGCACATATTGCTGCTGGGGAGGTTGTCGCGGAGCATTGGAGGGGACAGTAGCTGTGGGGAGGGGAACAGAGTGCTGTTGAGCAGGCTGAGGGACAGGATCCCAAGGGAAATGAGCGACGTTCACAGAAGAAAGCTTGTGTTGCCAGGTCTGTATAATAATTAGTATAGGCCTGGATGGATTCAGGTTGCATGAGATAATCAAGACAGAATCTTGGCGGTCTAAAAGCGCCTAAGCGGGTAATAGCGGCACATATAAAGGGAAGACTCATAAGCCGGTGTCCCCCATAAGCACCGCCTCCCGCACCACCTCGACCATCCCCGCTTTTGGGGAAATCATCCGCACCACACTTTGACAACACAAGAGATAAAGGATAAGGCAAAAAAAATGGTACTAACCTCGCGCAGATCATGAAGGGTCTGCTGATCGACACCGCTTTCCTCAAAGTCGACCTGGGAGGCATCACAGACCTCCTGGATGACCTTCTCGAAAACCGCACCCTATGAAGCCACATGTGTCAGCTCTCATCTCGGATGAAAGAAACTTCCAAAATGAATTGGGACAATGGTGGTTATAGATGAAGAGTAAAGACTATATGCGAGCGACGGCTGAGGATAGACAGGGTGGTAGCCGGAGAAAGAAAAGAAGAGTTGGGACTTACCACTTGCTGGTTGGACATGATTGCTGAGCAAGAACACCTCGAATGAGCTGGATGGTGATTTGAAAGGAGCAAAGAGCAGGTAATATGGTAACTGGTGGAGTGTCCTGGCTGATGATAGCTTGACTAGCAAGTAAAATGCTCCGTCGCAACTATCAAGTTGCCGATGTGCTGGCCGATCACACCGAATGACGCAATATCAAGCAATTTGTGAATCTGTAGTCTCCACACGAATAAAGAAGAAAAGAGAAGCCTTGAAAGATCGACGAAAGAAAAAAGGTCAGAGAGAAATGAGACGGTGAGTTTCCCGATGGGTTGGCGAAGGTGAAAGTCACGGCTCTGTGGTCGAAATCCCACTGTATCCCGGAGGCTTAGTCATCGGCGACCAAACCCACTTTACCTAGGTAAAGTAGAAACTTGGAAGTAAATCAAGAGATCAAAGACAAGATACACATGAAAGAGAAGATGGATAAGCAAAATGAATTAATGCAGCCGTAAGAATGGCATTTGGACAATTTGTACAGCCAGTCTACGGCAAAGTAGATACAAAGAACACCATCAGAACACCAAAATCATTCCCCAAAAAGAACCATTAGAACCATTACACCCAAATTAATGTCCCAGCCCATCAATGCTTTCAATATCACCATGAACTAGGGTATCCAACGAAAAAGAGAGAGAACATAAAGGAAATTTTGCAAGAGGCGCCTTAGCGGATGGTCATAGACTTAGTCATCTGAGCCTTGCTGCCAACACCACCCTCACGAGCAGCGGAGGCACTGCTGCCAGCTTTGCGCTCAAAGATCTTCCAGAACTTCAAGCTCTCATCAGCAGCAGTGGTGGCCAGCATCTGTCCATCAGGGCTGATAGCACTGTGGAGGACGCGAGTCTCGTGGGCAGGGATCTCAACATTGCGGACCAAAGTTGGGTAGCTCCAGATACTGAGTGAGTTGTCGGGGAAGCCGCTAGAGCTAACAATCTCGCGGTAATGGTTGCTCCAACGTAGGGAAGTGACTTGGGAGCCAGTGTCAATACTGTTGGTGCGGGCACCGGTGGTGGTGTTCCAAAAGTGAATGTGACGGTCGTAGGAACCACCGCCAGTGGCAAGGAGGTTGGATTGCCAAGGACACCAGCTCAGAGCCTTGACGGCGGCGCGGTGGTTGGTCTTGGTGAATTTGGGAGCGCTTAGAGAGCGAGCATCCCAGATGTTGACGAGGTTGTCGTTTCCACCAGTGGCGAGCTGGGCGCCATCAGGGCGCCATTCGAGACCGCAGACCTCAGAGGTATGGGAGACCAACTCAGCGATCTTGTGCTCTGCAATACGAACATCGTGGTTATAGACGAGACCACTGCGGGCTCCAGTGGACAGAGTGTGTTTGTTCCAGCCCATCACACCAACGCGAGAGTCGTGGCCATACATGCTGCGAAGCTTGGAACCTTCTTCAACATCCCAGATCTGGACCTCACCGGTTCCCAAGCCAACACCAACATAGGCACCGTCACCACTCCACTTCACGCTGCTCACGTATGTGTCGGGGGAGGTTTCCAAAAGGCAGTTAACAGAGCCAGACTCAGCAGACCAGACATAAACGTTTCGCTCGAGGCCGATTGCGACCTGGTTGCCAGAGCTCCAGTCGAGCAAATTGAGGTAGTAGTCATCCAAAAGACCCGGGGCATCCAAGACCCGTTCGGGTGCAGTTTGAACACGGCGACGGAACTGGGCAGCTGTAGATTTGGCAGGGCGTAGGGGACGGTTATATTGAGCACGAAGATCAATGGGCTTCGATGACTCAGGAGGAGGAGGCTTAAAGGCCAGGATGCGAGTATTCATGTTCACCCCGCAAGCTTCAGCCAGAGATGATTTGTAGGCCACAGCATCAGGAGCCGGGCGAGTATACGTAGGAGGCTCATTGTCATCCAGACCCAAGTTCTCCAAAGCGGCAGTAAGGTCATCATCCGATCCACGCGCACCAATGTCAAAAGCGCTGGCTGCCGAGGCGAGGACTGATGACCCGTCAGCCCCACCACTCTTAGGGCGCTGTTTCTCTTCTGGCTTTGCGGCCCCGCTAGTGGCTAGACCCTCACTTGCGGTCCGGTTGGGAATAAAACGGTCACCAGCGTTATGAGGAATGCGCACAGTTGTCTTGCTGGCACGAGCGCGGGTGGGAATCTCCCGGCGGATATGCTCCTTGGAAGGAGTGTTGGCTGTTGTCGCACTTGTGCCAGTCAAAGTCCAGTCCGAGACACCGAGCTCCAAGTGCTTGGGGGACTTGCGGGTGCGGGTGCTGGCAATATTCGATTTGTTCGCCTTGGGAGATTCGCGGTGGGTAGTACGGGCTGCTTTCGAGATGGACTTGGCGAAGTGGGCAGAGAGATTTCCGCCGTATACTGACTTGGCTTGACTGCGGCCAGCATCAGACTGGCGAGGAGGGGTGAATGGTGACGACTGGCCGCTCATGCGGGGGTTGGGTGAAGGGCTCAGAGGCATACGGCCTCCAGCAGTCTTGGAGGAGAACAGCCCATGGTGACTCTTCACCGGAGTTGATGCAGTAACAGAAGCCATAATAATATATGATCAAGAATAGATGTAGTGGGATCAACCCTAATAGAGGATGCAATACCAATCGATCCAAAGGCTAATGCGAGATCAACTAACGGGAAAGTATGTAGACAATTTGAGGATATTGAGAAAATGAAGATTGATTGAAAGAAGGAAAGGAAGAGGAGGGTTAGGAGAAAATCGAATAAATAGAAGGGTAGCTACTATACTCGTTGCTGGAAAAGTATGAGGCTCTCCCCATAGCAACGGTTACCTCAGCTACATAACACCCTAAGCCATATTGGGATTAGCGTTGACATACTGCGCTTGCCTTCTTTAGTGGCGATCGTCTTGGCATTAATTTTCATGAGAATCGACTATTTCTGCGCAAGAACAAAGAAGGCGAGAGAATATATACAGCATATCATCTTTCATAGACCTTATGCGAGAAAAATGTCGTGACTTTATTGTCCCAGTTGCGGATCTAATTCAAAGACCCCCTTTTTCTCGCCACTGGAATGGCGCATCCATCTCCTCTTTCCAACCCCCACTACGTTCCTCTCAGCCAGTTCCACCGAGACCCACCACGACTTCTCCCTGCCTGGTCGGGATCTTCGAGTGTCTTTAGCCCGATATCTTGTTGTACTCCCTCCATGGCAATGCAGGACGCCTACTTGATGCCTGCTAGTCAGGCTGGCGGTCGCCGAACCAGCGCAGATTATCGACCCAGCATAAAAAAGGCCCAGGGCCATGTACCCGCGTGCCTGGTCAATGCCTCGGTGACGTACTGCAGCAATGATCGCATTTATGCGTTTGGGGGGTTTGACCAGTTTACCGATGAAGGTTGACATTTTTATTCACACACAATCTCTAAAACTTTACTGATAATTTTTAGTTTACAACCACGTGCTCAGGTTAGATTTGGAGACTTTGCGGTGGGAGCTCGTTGACAACTACGGCGACATCCCCGGAGTTCGCATGGGTAACGACTCTATTCTCTTCTCATGCGTCCGTGTTTTGGGGATAAACACTCTAACTAGAAATTATATATTTTTTTGATAGGACACACCGCGACATTGTACCAAGGGGATAAATTGATTGTGTTTGGAGGCGAAAATGAGCATCGCGAATACCTCTCCGACGTTGTCATCCTTGATCTCAATACCTTCACCTGGGCACTTCCTGAAATTCGCGGGTCGATCCCACGCGGCCGAGCCCGCCATGCTGCCGTCATTCACGAAGACAAGCTTTTTATTGTGGGTGGAGTGACAGGCGTCGGAGGAGTGACAGGGGAAAAGAATGTGATCCTGGACGACTTGACCTACCTGGATCTACAAACATGGACCTGGTCTCGGACGTGGAGCTTCACTGCTCGTTTCGATCATACCGCTTGGGTTTGGGGCACACGTTTATGGATATTTGGTGGATTAGGTCCAAACATGGAACGAACGACTGATATCTGGTGGCTCGACCTCAAGGGATCTCCATCGCTGGCTGGAAACACTACTTCCCAAGGTAGCGTCAACTCCCTGGGCGTCAATCTTTCCACGGCTCATGTTCCAGACTCTATCTCTAGCAGTCCTCACCAAATATCTCCCCGCTCCGGAATATATGCTGCTAATTCAGGCAGTGTGCAGGTACGCAATTTGGGTCGACGCAAGCCAGTTGCGCCTGGTGCCATATCTTGTCTTAGGTTTGACTCTGGCCCCCATGTCCCCTCCCTTTTTTCTGGTACTCATTTTCATTCATTTGCCTCTGGTGTCCTGCTCGATCTAATTACGCCGTCGGAGACTGTACGGTCGCATGATTGTAACCTGTCGGCTCTGGACCTTAACTCGCTGCGCTGGCAACGACTAGCTGATGGTCAAGAGATCTTTCGACCCGGTCATCGATGGCACTACTGCACTGTCAATGACGCGGGGACCAAAGCATGGCTCTTGGGATGTAACCTTGATGTCGCGAATGTACCGGGAGGTAGTGACGAGAATCATATGAGTGAAGTTCTGACTATCGACCTGGAGAAGTATGGACTGCTAGGTAACGGCCTGTCGGCAGAACCTCCCGAACAAGGTGCACCTTGGCCATCTGATCAAATGGGCCCCTCTCAGGTTTCAGGGCTTGGAACCGATCTAGCCGCTGTTTTTGATATACCCCCTGAGTCTGGAAGTGGTACGGACTTTGTCATCACTGCTATCCGTGACGATCATGACGGGTCCGTGTCAGAAGATATGGGCGACACGCCGTCCGTTTCGCCAACCCAGCCGACCTTTGTGGAACAGAGCCCCTGGACTTCAGAGCCCATCCATGTCCACCGTATCATTCTGCAGCTCAGATGGCCACACTTCAAGCGCCTGTACTCCGCTCAAATGGCTGAATACCACACTAAACGGATGCACATCCCCGAGCCTTATTCTGTCGTGCGCGCATTTCTCTATTACCTGTACACAGACAGTATCGCCGGCCATCCAGACTACTGCTCAAGTGCTATCGACGTGGCGGGCATGCTTGTTATGGCCAATCTTTACGATATGCCCAAGCTTCGCCTGCTGTGCGTCAATAGATTAAGCCAAGAGCTTGATGTAAACAATGCGGCGATCGTCTGGGAGCGTGCCGGGCGGACCAATGAGCACTGGTTGATGCGCAGAGCTGCGCAATTTTGTCTGACATACTGGGGTCGCGTGGTACGGACAGACGGTTTCAAATCCCTCAGCCACCAGAGTTTGATCCAACTCTGCGAGGTGGTGGATACAGAAGGTCGTGTCTTCGCAGGGTCTGAATTGGAGATGGTCACATTCGGGCAAGATTGCCTAGGTGACCGAGACAAAAGCTCTCGACTGCGGCTGGGATCTACTACAGATGAGATGTCCGAGGTTGACGGGGACGATGAAGGGATGGAGATGTCATGAATTGCACGAATGGGGCACGCATTATATTCCGGAGTACTTGGCGGGGATTATTTATTAGGTTGTTTTGTATTTTGCATCTCTAACAGATTTTGAATATACCATCTTTTTCTTTTTCTATTGGGGGTGACCCGGGCCGTCCAACCGTTGGTAGTGAGCCCATTCGTTGTCACGGGATTGTGGAGCCTCTCGACGTTCTTGACGCGGACTCGACTCCGGATCGCGGAGGTCAGTCCTGTCACGATAAGGAAGCTCTGGAATGTTGTCTCACACTTCTTGGGTTTCAATAAAATAGGAGAAAAAAAAATGTTGAAACTACTTAAATATCGATCTGCGCTCAAATTCGGAACAATCTGGTTGGCACACAGCTTCTACAGCTATTCCTTTGATTGAGAACTCACTTCACCATGGGATCCACCGAACAATCCACTCTTCCTTCGGATTTTGTCTGGGGCTTTGCAACAGCCGCATACCAGATTGAGGGAGGAGCTTACGAAGGTGGTCGTGGCTTGTCCATCTGGGATACATTCTGCAAGATCCCCGGTAAGATTGCCGGTGGCGGAACTGGAGATGTAGCTTGCGACTCTTATCACCGTACACACGAGGATATCGCCTTATTGAAACAATGCGGTGCTCAGGCATACCGATTTTCCGTGTCGTGGTTCGTCTCATTTTATTTCTTGCTTCGAGCTTGAATCTTCATTTTGCTAACCTCGGCTTGTCTACATCTATAGGTCCCGCATTATCCCTCTCGGTGGCCGGAACGATCCAATCAACAAGCAAGGCATACAATTCTACCAGAAGTTTGTGGATGATTTGATTGATGCGGGCATTACGCCCATGGTTACCCTCTTCCACTGGGATCTTCCGGATGAGCTCGATAAGCGCTACGGCGGACCTCTCAACAAGGAGGAATTCGTTGCCGACTTCGCGCACTATTCCCGCGTGGTATTCGAGGCCTTTGGATCCAAGGTCAAGTACTGGATCACTTTCAACGAGCCTTGGTGCAGCAGTGTTCTGGGATACAATAATGGTTCCTTCGCACCGGGCCACACGAGTGATCGCACCAAGAGCGCGGTGGGAGATAGCTCGACTGAGCCGTGGATTGTCGGCCACAGCTTGCTAGTTGCCCATGGAGCTGCAGTGAAGATCTACCGCGATGAATTCAAAGAACGAGACGGTGGTGAGATTGGCATTACGCTTAACGGTATGTACCCACTCTCCTCGCATGTATACAGAGCCTTTACTAATCGCATCATTAAACAGGTGACTGGGCCGAGCCTTGGGACCCTGAGAACCCAGCCGACGTGGAAGCCTGTGACCGCAAGATTGAGTTCGCTATCTCATGGTTCGCTGACCCGATCTATCACGGTAAATACCCAGACAGCATGATCAAGCAACTTGGCAACCGCCTGCCAACCTGGACACCGGAGGACATTGCCCTTGTTCAAGGCAGCAATGACTTCTACGGCATGAACCACTACTGCGCGAACTTCATCCGTGCCAAGACAGGAGAGCCGGATATCAACGATATCGCGGGTAACCTCGAGCTCCTGCTCGAAGACAAGAACGGCATAAGTGTCGGGCCTATCACACAATCGCCTTGGCTGCGACCATCTGCAATCGGATTCCGGAAACTGCTCAAGTGGCTCAGTGAGCGTTACGGCTATCCCAAGATCTATGTCACCGAGAACGGAACCAGTGTCCTGGGCGAAAACGATATGCCGCTTGAGGAGTTGCTCAACGATGAGTTCCGCGTACAGTATTTCCGGGATTATATCGGTGCTCTTGCTGATGCGTATACTCTCGACGGTGTCAATGTACGGGCGTACATGGCTTGGAGTCTCATGGAGTAAGTTTGACCCTTGTTCCCCCCCCATCATTTTAGTATAACGTCCAACTAACCTGTTGACTTACAGCAACTTCGAATGGGCTGAGGGCTACGAGACCCGCTTCGGTGTTACTTTTGTCGACTATGAGAACGACCAGAAGAGAATCCCAAAGAAGAGCGCCAAGGAGATTAGCAAGATCTTTGATCAGTTGATCGAGAAGGCCTGAGATGGACGCAGCGCTAATTGATCTTTTTGCTGGTGGACTCGAGCAACTGCCATGATACCTGGATTCTATATGAAGTTTTTGAATGCACATGATATTTGATTTTCCAGTTATGCCGTGAACCGTGTAGTTCAGTACGCAACACAGCAAAACCCGCGACGTTTGACGTAGAGAGAGAAACAGGGACGAAGGTGATATGAACGTCGAGTTGAGAGACTATGTGAGAAGATAGTCTGTTGAATGAGAGAAAATCCAGCTCTACTAGATCTGCATACATACAGGCATTCCCATCAATCGAGAGACCTTGATACAGTCCACCACCTCATGAATCTTGGGTACAGTATGACATCGAAACCCTCATGGCACTGTTATGCTCTTTTCTTTCATACATCATGATACCACTTGGCTATTGTTAAAAATCCATCCAGGGCATGCTTGCCTGCAGTCAGGCTGCAACAAGCATGCCATATAAATGGAGCTTGTCCCCGAGTTTTCCTAAAGATTTCAACCGTGTCGTCTCTCTTTGCATGACTTTGTTGTCTATAGAATAATCAGAAGTCGCCGTGGGACTAGGTTGTGTTTATAGGACACCCAATCTTATCCAGAGCAGGTATCCCCCTCCTACTTATGAATTGAAGACGATCCAATAGCTAATCCCCAGATTGAGAGATATATATATATATATGTCGGGGAACACATAGCCCTATATCATCATAAAGGTCACAGGTGCCGCACTTTGCCTTGCTAACGAGGTAAATGTACTAGTATACTACCTTTTCGGTGCGTAAAATGAAACCGAGAACTTGAATCAATATCAGGACACATGTTTATATGGAGCTTCTGTTGTCATTTCTATCAATTTTACATATCAGCCAACTTGTATTTATCCTGCTTTTAAGAGGAATTGGTACTGGGGTTTTATGATAGAAAACAAAATAGAAACGCTCGATATTTTCGATTTGTTTTCCCTCCAATAGTTCAGTTATTCCAAGCTAGGTAGGCTTGTTGTAGGTATGCAAACTCGCTGCCCAAACAATTGTACATACTTCCAAAAAAGGTAATATTGAAGCCTTAGGACTCAAACCCTGTTTGGGGATTCACTTGCCCCCTGAAAGGCTTCCTGGTGCTCTGAATATATCCCTTTACTCTCTGGGCTACATAGAATTAGGTTTTACCTAGACTCCATGTGGATTGGAAGCTACATACTCGACGCAAATTCTGATACCCGGGACCTAAGTAAATCCGTCTCCGGATGAGATATCCTCTCCATTTTCTTAGAGTTATAACTACATATGTAATCTATTTAAATCAAATTGAGTCGTCAAGAACAACATGAATGTATCGCAAATCTCCCAGCAGCTTTTACCCGCGCCCAAAAGATTCCCAGACTGCTGCTTGGCCATCTCCAGCACTTTGATCACCTACCTTGCTTCGCTCCTCCCAAAAAAACCCAAATTCACCGTCTCAGTCGGCAGCGGATCTGGTCTCCTCGAAGGTCTCATCATGCATTGCGATACCAATTTGTTAGTGGAAGGCGTTGAGGTAGACTCAACTATTAATCGGTACATTGCCGAAGAAGACATGAATACCGTTGGCGGAGGTTGGGGCCTTTGGTCTGCCGCTCAACAGGCTGCAACGTGGATGTTTGTCTACCCACGCGACCCAAAACTCATCACCAAATATATTGACACCTATGGTGATCAAAATGTCGATTTCATTGTCTGGCTCGGGCCTCGGGTCGATTGGCCAGATTATGAGCCGCGTTTCTGTCAATCTCCGTTCTCCGAGTTGAGTTTTCCAGATCATATTGGACTAACACCATATGAGACTATGGCTGTTGCTAGAAGGCCATGTTAATATGAAGCCATTCCGCATTGTGACTTCAATTTTGGAATATCATGCGATACTCCTCCTGGGTAGATTGGATCTTGCGCCTGTTGTTCGAGGATCCAGATTTGCGTCTCTCGGTTCCTAGTATTATAGTGCCTTCTAGTAAAGCTGGAGGTGGATAAATTAGGTAATAGCTAATAGGAAAATTACATGAAAAGAGAAGGGACTTTGCATTCGACAATGGGTGATGTTGACGGTGGAAGATGGGAAAGAAAAACCGAAGACTGAGTGTGAGAGTGGGCGATATTGATGAGAAAGATAAAGGGGGAAGGGGAGATTTGTAGACGAGACAGAATAAAGTGGTAGAGCATAGTTCATAGCCCACACAAACTTGGAATTACATTTTGACTCGAGACTCCAGACGTCTCAAGTCAACATTCATGTATGTATCACTTGTATACATTCTTCTCTCATATGAATATCTTTGTAGGCTTTCAAGTTGAGAGGATTACTCTGGTCACGTTTTAAGAAATTTATACGAGAGTATATACAAAGGAACGATTTGAGATATATATAGATAGAACTTGAGAACTGCCTCTGCATTGAGCACACGTCACTCCCATATATTTAGTCCGAAGAGCAACCTGGGTTGCAGCGCAAGAAATCAAGCAAATATCATATATGCAATGGGAGTAAGTATTTCTCAACTGGCATTCATTATAGGACCTTTTGCTTTATTTCTTTCTTTTTTGTAGAATGATTTAGTTAGAATTGAACAATAGTACAACCGCTAAACTCTTTAATCTAACAAGTGTTGACTTACCAAGGGCTAATTCAGAGGGCTCCCTCGATTTTATATCAGGTATTGTAAGATATCTCGTATTACCGAGGTCTAAAATGGGTGTTGGCCATCGCCTAGCTGCATCCCAAAGTAATTCATATATTAAATCTAAAGCACGAGGCTAAGCTCAAAGTGCATACCTAAAATGCTTGGACTCCATATCCGTCATATCCTTAAAGCCATCCAAGATAGCTTGAGAAGTAATATCCTCGGGGTTCTCATCAGTATCAGCCGCGATGATTGCAGCATCCCTCCTTCTATTCTCCCATTTCATCGACATATACGCCACACATGCTAGAACAATGATGCCCGCATAGCAGATGAGCAGACCCAATAGACCCGAGTAATAGCGCGGGGCCTGGTGAGCGAAGAATATATTCGCTCCGGCGACATTACCGGCCGCATAGAGCGAGAACCAGAGACCATTAGCGACTGCACGCTTGGTGTGGCCGGCAACATTGGTGGCAAGTAAATTCCACGAGATAATGACGGGAGCGCCAACAAGATACTGCAGCCAAGTGCATCCGACTAAAGTCCAGGGATAATCGAGGCTGGTAAATCGGATACCCAGAAGACCGGCGAAGGGGATCAGGCAGACGACTGCGAGAACGATGCAGCGTGAATCTTTAACGTATGTAGCGATAAGACCGCAAATGGGTACAACACCCGCTTCGATTGCACCTGTGGGTAGTTGAAGGAGTGTAGTATAGATCTCGCTGAAGCCAAAGCCTTTGATCAAGGCCGATGCGAAATTTGATGAACCGCCGTTGATCACACCGCAGGCGATGCCGACGCCAGCGCAGCAGAGGACTCTGACATCATAGATAATCTCCAGCGCCTGGCGTGGTTTTATGTCTTTGGTCTTCACTCCAATCATGTTTTCGGCGACACGCTGCACGGCGATCACGCGCTGTCGGTGGGTCAGGAAGCGGGCAGAGCCTGGCGAGTCGGGCATGAGCCAGAGGAAGAGACAGGCGCAGAGGAAGTTGAGTAGTCCGATGGTTAAGAAAATTAACTGCCAGCTGCGGAGTGCGGTGTTATGTGAATGGCCGAGGCCGAATCCTAGTAGTGCTCCTACCATCGTGGCCATGCCATTCGCACTAAGCCAGATAGCCATGCGCAGTGGTTGTTCGGAGCGCTTATAGAACATTGAGGTAAGGTTCATCACTAGATAGAACGAGATATGTTAGTGCTTTTCGTGTGGTTTGTTTGTGATGTAGGCTACTCACTGCACGGACTGATTCCAGCTTCTGCCATGCCTAAGAGGAATCTCAATACCAGGATTCCTGCGTAGTTCTTTGCTCCAACATGTGCAATAACTAGTACACTCCAAATAAAAAGCATACCACCCATATATTTTGCGATTGGCAATCGCTGGATCAGGAGGTTGGCTGGGAGGGCCCAGAAGAGATAACCGAAATTGAAAATAGCCGCAACCCATGAATATCGCTGGCCTTCGAGACCGAGGTCTGGGATCAAGGAGTATGCCGATGCATAATTAAGTGATAGTTTGTCTCCACAGACATACATGTTAGTTATAGAAGTGATAATGGGGAAATTCTGCATTTTTGCATACCGAGGAATTGGATAACATAGGTCAGGTAGAGCTAGCACAGCGATAGAGAGTCAGAAATAGCGCTCATCAAAACACCATCGGGGTCCTTCATAAACTCACCATCGGCATAATCCTCCAGTCGATAATCCTCAACACCTTGGCGCCCTCAGTCTCCAGTTCCTCAGCCGTCAACTGTTCCGCCTCGAGATATAGATTCGCTCCGATATCATGAGTTTGGCCGAGTGCAATATGTGTAGCATCTTTCTCTGTAGTGGATGGATCCACCTTTGTGTCGTTGGGGTTCATTATAGATGGGGGTTCAAGTTTGAACAGAACTGAGAAGTTCCTATCAAAAGTGCAGCGTTTAGTTATTATATACAAATTCAAGGACATACCTATCATCCCAAGGCCGCCAAGGAGATAAGCATCACTGGTTCCTTATCTCTCAAGTTATCTGTGTCAAAATGATAGGAGAAGCGGTCAATAGTCCGCATAAGACAAAAAAGTGTGGGGAAAGCGGACTATTATCCGCTTTACGGGGTATACTTGGCCATCTCTCTACTACAAAGTAGAATTTCATTCAGTGTATTTTGAAATTATTACTTCATATATCACTTCAGTTTCAAAGCCAATTACCCCTCAATGGCTCAATCCCAAGACTTCTTGTTACTGGACGCGAGTATCTCCGAGCTCCAATCCGCACTTTCTTCAGGGTTGCTCTCTAGCGTGGGCTTGGTATCACGATACCTACGACGAATCAGCATATACGACGCAAACACTCTAAAGCTCACCGCCATCCCAGTCCTAAACCCAACTGCCTTCGACGAAGCAGCCGCCTCCGATGCCCGGCGCGCAGCCGGTCTACCGCCGCGTCCATTGGAGGGGATCCCCTACCTCGCAAAAGATAGTATTAAAGTCAAGGGCATGACCGTTGCGAGCGGATCGCCGGCATTTGAAACCCTCATTGCCAACGAGGATGCTGTCTGTATCCAACTTCTCCGCAAGGCCGGCGCCGTGTTTCTCGGCCGGACAAACATGCCCGCCATGGCGTACGGTGGTATGCAACGTGGGTGTTATGGGCGCTCTGAAAGTCCCTATAATACTGCATACCTTGCTGCAGCATATGCTTCTGGTTCATCAAATGGATCGGCCGTCGCAACGGCAGCCAACTTTTGTGCTTTTTCTCTAGGCAGCGAGACTGTTTCTTCGGGTCGCTCGCCGGCATCAAATAATGCCGTTGTTGCATACACACCTTCGAAAGGCCTTCTTCCTCTTCGTGGTGTCTGGCCACTCTATTTAACATGTGATGTCCTGGTGCCTCATACCCGGACTATGGCAGATATGTTCCATGTCCTGGATGTTCTGGCAGTGTCTGATGAAGCCCCGATAGGAGATTTCTACCAGGAACAAAAGATTATCTCCCTCCCGTCAATCAATACACTTCGACCGCAGTCCTTTTCAGAATTACAAGATGATACCTCCTTGCGCGGGAAGCGTATTGGTATACCGTCAATGTATATCGGAGGCGATGACCTTTCTCTATCACCAGCCAGCAAAGTCAATACCCGACCCTCCATAATCAAGCTATGGCAGAATGCTCGAAAAGTCCTCGAGTCCTGTGGTGCGGAGGTAATAGAAACGGACTTCCCACTCGTGACAACCTACGAATCAAACGCAGACAAGGGCCAGCTCGTCACCGTCGCAGGACTACCGGAAGGCTGGTCCGCGATGGAGCGGGGCGATCTCGTCGCTCATATCTGGGATGACTTCCTGATTAACAACGGACAAAAGGGTCTCGAAACTCTTTCTCAGGTCGATCCGACAACTATCTTCCCGCTTGCGCCGGGGTCTTTGAAGGGTACGCCTGATGCGGCTAATGCGCTGCGATGGGATGAGATGGTTAAATACCCGCACCGGAGGCCGGCATCTATTTTGAAGATCCCCGGTATTCAGCAAGCAATCCAGGCTCTTGAAAATGCGCGCAAGGAGACTCTTGAGGACTGGATGGATGGGCTTGGACTTGATGCTGTGGTTTTCCCGGCTAATGGTGATGTCGGGGCTGCTGATGCGGACTGCGATGAGATGGCTTCGCGGTTTGCGTGGAGTAATGGTGTCAAGTACTCTAATGGTAACAGACCTATTCGTCATCTTGGTGTGCCCACTATCTCCGTCCCTATGGGTATCATGGAAGATACGGCAATGCCGGTGAATCTTACCTTCGCCGGGAAGGCATATGATGATAACAGTTTACTTAAGTATGGCTTTGCTTTTGAGATGGCAATGAAGGGCCGTTCACAGCCACCGCTCGTGCCTGCTCTTGACTCTGATTGCATCAAAGGTGGTCAAGATCTTCGGCCATGGGCTTCTCGATCCATTGTTGAGCTGGTGGTGGAAACTCAAGTGAAGGAGATTCACGATTCCATGGTTGTGGTTCAGATTCAGGGGTCAGTGGTACTCAAGGACTCTGAGCTGGGGACTTTGGAATGCCATATCAACGGTCAACTCTTCAAGCCGGTCATCGAGGGCGATAGATGGTTTATCCAGGCTTCCTATCCCGCATCGGAACGTGACCAACCCTGGAAGAGGTGGTCGAGTCCTGCTCTAACACAGACTATCGTAGTTATCACAGCTTCCACAAAGGCGGGCTCAACGATGGGTAAGTTAATATTACTATAAAAAGCCAAATGTTGTCAAAAAGAATCCAATTCTTCTTCCATTTCTCGATTATGTACTGCTCTCAAAAAAGCACAACGCTGTCATATTTATGATAACTCTTTAAAGTCATTCTCCAACAAGCCCTAGTGTATACTTCCCCCGTACATCATATCTTCAATCATCCCCAAGACAGCTCGGTGCAAATAATTCTTCCTCAACTGCTGCAAGTGAAATTCAGCCTCTTCCAGTGACACTGGAGCATTAGAATCGACTTCAAATGTGCCAGCATTCCACATGATCTTTTGTCGTATGAACTCAAGCACATTCATATACGGCATTGCATCCTTCCACCGTTCGACAAAGCCAGCCAAGTTAGCCGTACATGTAGCAATGGCCTGTCTGATGCGCTGTTGATTCCTAATATCAGAAATAGAGGCTGTCGCCCAGACAATGTAAAGCATCATGATTCCTGATCGGAATTGGAATACAAGCTAATAATAGATTGATTGTTAGTCCACCGTGAGAGCATTGCGATAGAAAAGAGACTGGGGGTTGACACATACTGCAGACCAGGTATAGCACATCACATGTCCTTCTTCCTGCAAGAGCCGGAAATTGAGACAGGCTTCCCCAATCGTCGTGAGAATTTCCTCTGTTCCGTCCATCTCAATGAAATCGCGTTTCTCTTCTATCAGGATCAAGAGACTGTAAACATACAGCTTTCGCATCCATATAGGATGAAGATAGCCGTGCTGAGCATTGTCTGATTCATAGTTTGGGATCTCTTGTCGCCATCTATCAAGCGCAGCCTTGAATGAGGAGCTATCGCCTTTACCATATCTAGCGAGGGGGTTGCGGGGCCGCTTCTCCCGTGATCTCCTGATGCTAGCTTGGATCTTGCGTAGTCGAAACAAGTGGCGTATGGCGGGGTTTGTGCTTAGGGTTGGTTGGAGGGTATCTCCCAGAGTGCACATCTATGTTGAGAATTAGTGACTGTGAGAAGCTATTTAGAAAATATTTGGGGATAACCCACATCATCGTCGACAACCTTGTAGGCGGCTGATACTGGTCGATCCCACCCAGAAACAATTACTTCATTGAGCATATAGCAAGTGATAAACATGTTCTCAGACAAAACTTCGATAGACTCGGTCATGGAGCCATTGTCGCGGCATATCGATACGTGCTTCTGTATCTCTGTCATGGCAGCTGTACAGAAAGGTAACACAGAAGAGACGCTCGTTGTGATATCCTCCGAAGAAGGAGAATGCATAGCATAGAGTATCATGAATAGTGAAGCTTGGATTTGTAAAACCATAGACGAATGCCCGACAACATATGGATAATATCTCATGGCCGAGGCATAATATTCCTTTGACCGGACGGAGTGCGAGGGATCTCGCTGTAAATTACTGCAAAGGGATGCACCAATAGCATATACCATCTGCAGGAAGAAGGCTTTCCATTCATCCTGCCCATCCAGGATCGTTTCAGCATGCCATGATTTCCAAGCTGTTTCGTTTAAGAAGGGCCATTCGCGGTGAGTCACAGAAAAATATACATTTGTGTAGAGCTCTTTCAGCCAAGGAGAGTCGTCACCGGTCAAAGAATATGAAGGTGCCAAGTCAATCCATGGAACGTCGAAAGTCGTCTCAGGGAATAAAGAGAATGTGTCAGTGTCAGATGAGAAAGGCAATGGAGATGTTCGAGGTGATCTTTGGCTGCTGTGTTGCAAGTCTGACAGAACCATGAGAGAGCGGTCATTCCCTGCTCCGCTACTATTCTGATCAGTTATCAGATAGTCTGGATCATTGCCCAGATCATTACGCTTGTGTTCTGGGTCTTCAAAATCTGTCTGGACTCCAGCATCACATGTTCGCACAGCTGTTTCTGTGACATGGAACTCACGGTCCAGCTCCGCGACCCGTTTCTCGAGCTGTCGCAGATATTCCAGCGGGATTGTGATGTTATCTCCCGTTTTCCGAGACCGAGCAGGCAAGCATTCAGCACCCTTGCGACGACATTCGCCACATGAAGGTTTCGCATGATCACATTTCCGCTTATGTCGAAAACAGCGAGCGCATGCTATATCTCTATGCTTCAGGGGGCGCGACATGCGGCAAATGGGTGCATAATAGGGAGTGAGAGGAGATGCGGGGAGACTCGCGATAACGGAGTTGATCCGCGCCGGTGCGATATCAGTTCCGTATTGACTGTAATGGGAAGGTCTAGGCGATGTTGATAAGAAATGTGTTATTAACTATATATACTGCTTCCTGTTAAGATATATAACATTGTAAGAGATCTTAGGATCGTCAAGCCAGGTCAGAAATAAAGTCCATGGTCATAATTCATACTCGTCTCCTTGAGCCCATTAAGATCTCCCACTAGGTCAAAAAATCGGCAGCGACCTTCAGTTTTTGATCCATGCTTGAGCCTTTGTATCATATCCAATCAACGTAGGATCAACCTTCAGGGTCTTGAGCATGAATTCCATTGTGAACTCCTAAGTGACAATGTCAGCACATAGATTTCATCCGAAACCACAGTAATACCAGAACACTTACCCCATCCTGACTCTCTTCGTCGACATTATTCTTGTTCAGTGGATGGCCAGAGGAGTCCTCAGCATCGTAGGTATCAACATCTACCTCATTAACATGCTCCCACTCACGATTCTCCTCGTCAAACTCCCACTGAGTTGCATCACGCTTCAACCGCTCTCTCCAAGCTGCCATTCCTCCCATACCATTAACCCTTTCTTTAGCACCAACAAATACCTCGTCAGCTGCGTCTTGGCTGGCGAGCCGCCATTTGGTGATGAGACTTGGTATCTCGATGTATTTGGGGTTGTGCTCGAGGCCAAGGGCCTGGGTTGCTATCTCAAGTTTTGATATGAGCGCGTTGACCTTTGACTGGATCTCCCGATGCTGTTTTTGCAGTTCTATGATCTCTGGATTGGAGGGCTTCAATGAGTGAGGGGAGAATGGGGAAAAAGGCTGTAGCATGCGTTTGGGTTTAGGAGGTACTGCAGTTGTTGGATTTGGTATTGGGTTTGATTCTACAGGGATGATAGAGGTCGCTGAGAGTTTTGTATCCTCGGCAGTCCTGGGTGCGACAGAGTTGGATGGCATGTCGTCTGTGGTTGTTGGTGCAGGTCTGGGTAGCGGGGACTTGAACGGCTTTGAGAGAGCTGTAGCAGCGTCAATGCGACGACGCTTACTAGGTGGCATATCCATGGTGCATCAATACAGACTTTCAAAAGGTATGTGTTCGACAAAAAGAAACATAAAAAGGTTGGAGAGCGAAAGGCGGAGATGCGATAGAGTCTTATCGATAAGCAATGGAATTCATCTATGTACTTCTCGTACAAGGAAAAAAAAAGTCACGCTGAAAATGCATACACTATATTATCCTCAATGTCCAACTCCTCCTGCTACCCATTGCCCAAATTCAGGGTCGCCAGGCTGAGGGAATAATCCACGGTCATTAACATTCCCATTTCCATTCTGGGCATTGCCATTGCCATTGGCGTTCTCATTCTGTCGGTTGCGCTGCTGCTGCTGCTGACGGAAATAAACCAAAACCAACAGTGTAGCAGCCAACCCGACAATGAGAAGACCCTCAAGCATTCCCTCGTCGAGATCGAGGTCCAGGTCGTCATAGTAGCCATCCTCGTGGCCTTCAGATTCCAAGCCACGATATTCATCATCGTCTCCACGTTGTTGTTCGTAAAGGTCTTCATAATAGCCCTCCTCGTCGTTCTCGATAAAGGCCTTGACCCATTCCTTGAAAGTACGACGGGGCTTCGAGTCTAGAGAGAAAAAACCAACAAACATAAGTAAGAAACTAGGAAGGCACGATTAATTTCACAGGGTAAGTGGGAAGGAGCAGCTTACCTTCCTCCTCGCGGATGGGGTTGATATCTCCATTAGTGATGCGATTCCAGTATCCTCGAACCCGGAGTTTGATCAAGCTAAGCTTCACTGGCAGATACGCTTCAGGGCTGAGGTCGAGAGCCAAGTCATAATACCGCTTGGCCATGTGGAAATCCTGATCTACTGCCACACCATTCTCATGCATCCAGCCCAGATTCCAGTAGCCTTGCGCACTGTGGTGAGCTTCAGCAGCATTGTGGTAACATGTCGAGGCCTTATCAGCATCGACGGGTGTACCTGTGCCAGACAGGTAGTAGTCACCCATCTTGACCAAGGAGTCGACGTTAGCTTGCTTCGAGGAGCGGGTCCAGTAAATCAATGCTAGTCTCGCATTATGCATCAAGGAGGATCGAGCCTTCTCAGTCCATGGAAGAATAGAACTAAGCGAGAGTACAGAGCGATGCTCATCAAGCAGATAAGCCACATTTGCCTGTGCATTCTCATAGCCCTGCTCTGCTGCCATCATTGATGGGATAAGAGCGCTCTCCTTGTCACCAGATTCGTAAGCAGTGTTTGCCTCCACGAAGGCTGAGTGGACGATCTCTGCTTTTTCGGCAACCATTTTGTAGTAGGCGGCGGCCACGCCACAGTGCCGCTGTCTGCCAATACCGAAGTTGGCCATTTCCGCTAGGTAGTAGTATGCCTCCATCCACCCCCAGCGGGCTGCAAGCTCGAAGTACCGTGTTGCGGTTGCCACGTCTCCTTGGTCCAAGAAAAGAGCGCCCAATCGTGATTCTGACGCCGGGGAATCCTGCTCTGCCGCTGCTTTGAAGTAGTGAGAGGCCTTGAAGCCATCCTCTGGAACACCATAGCCCTTGAGATACATCAGGCCCATCCAATGCTGGCACAGAGAATCCCCGTTCGCAATGCCACGCCGGAACCATGTGAGGGCAGTCGGGTAGTGTTGTTCAACCCCCTCTCCACGAAGGTACATCAGGCCAATATGCCCTGCGGCCTTGGATGCCAGCTTATCTAGGCCTGCAGGGGGGTTTGAGTTGATGGTCCCATCTTTGTTCCAATATTTCTTGGTAACAACCTTGAAATACCTCATAGCCCGTCGGAAATTCCGTGGTAATCCCCGAGCTCCCTCGAAATTCATCTTTCCGAGAGTGTACGTAGCCTTCAGCTCACCCTTCCGGGACATGAGATCCAAGTATTCCAGGATATCTTCCACGCTAGCCTCGGGGGTAGCATTGGCAGAGTCCCGCGCATTTTGACCCGAACTTGACACGCTAGCTCCTGGACCATAGACACCACCTTCTTCATCTGCCCAGCGATATGATTCCCGAACCAAAGCCCTACCACCCGGAGGGCCGGAGCGGTAGTACTCGACTGCCTTGTCCGCAACCTTCTTGTAGTAATGGATCGCGTGGTCACAATCCTTCGGTGTTCCAATTCCAGTGTGATAACGATACGCAAGTGTCATCTCCGACCGGATATTTCCTGCTTCCGCTGCAAACTCATGATACATCAAAGCCTTTGCCTGGTCGGGTTCGACCGCACCACCGATCCCCGTCGCATACATGAACCCGACCATGTTCTGCGCTGTGTTGTTTCCGTCTAACCAGGCCAATTCATGATACCAGTGGAAAGCTTCTTTAAAATCGCGCGAATAAGAGAAATTGCCGTAGAAGTTCATCTCTGCTAACAAGAACATCGCATCCGGGTCTCGGTCTTCGTCTGCAGCTGTTCTCAGCTCCTCCACTGCCCCTGCGACATGTTTGTTCAGTTTCCGCTCGGGCTTTTCGGTCGAAGGGCCATTCAAAAATAGCAGTCGGACCGTTTGACGACCATAGTATACAGCAGTCCCTAGCAATCCTCTCGACTTGTCGGATTGAAGGACTGGATTCTTTGTTGTGCGAAGGATATTCCAAGCATTCTCGACTCGCTCTGTTATCAGATAATAAAGTCAATCAGTATCAAGCATCGATAAGGCGCGAGGCATGGAAGCTCACGAGTCATGGGTCGCGGTTCCGCTTCCCCTGTCTGGAACGTAAATTCACGGTCTGCATCGTGACCGATTGCTCCGGAGGCTGTTTGGTCAGTGAGCGATTGACTAGGCTCAGCTGCGCATGTCTGCAATAGCACTGGAAAAGGGTGTCAGCTTCCGTTGTGGTCCTGTAGGTGCGGGCAAAGCTTACGCAGAGCCGAGAGAAAGTGTGAGAGCGGCGTCCTCATAATGCCTGCAAAATACTGATGTAATGTTGAAGTCTGAAGCACATTGCGACTCTCAGAGCAATGTGAATTGTAAAAGCGACAGAGTCGGGAATCGTGACATGATGTAGTTGCAGAGTACGGGCCACTTGGCTTGACGGAGCTTCATTTTGCCGAGGGCCAATCACTACATCGTACATACTGACGTACCTGCGTACATATACGTACTACATAAGGTATATTGTATGTTGTATGCTTTCTACAACTCCTTTAAGGCATATTTTTTATATGTACTGTATATCTAGTCCTGCTTGACTATCTTATCTCAAATGTTCTTCAACCTGTACATATGTAATACCAGAATAGAATCTAGGTACACTTCTCTAGACAGTAAGCCAAATCCAAGGACTCTACATAGACACCCTTTTACATGTTATAGGAAAAGTATTGCAAATATCATCAACATTGCTGGAATCTACTCGTCCCCTCAGGAGGGTGTGTACAAAACGGAAAGCAGCAGTCAAAATACATCCCCGGTGCGCTTTCCATGCAATAAAAAGATTCGGGCAATTCCCCAATGGTGATTGAAGTCCACACTTCCATCTCACAGTATCCGTAGATTTTATCCTCAGTACTGATCGAAGCATGTGCGGTCTTCGCACGATGAGGGAATAGTGCGCCGGGAAAAGCAAAGCAATCTCGAAACGATGGCGACTGAAACCAAACGGGGGCACGTGTTGTTGGTTAATTGGTTTAAAAAAAAAGACTAAACAGATACAATGAATGGGAGGCAATCCCCGATATCGTGGAAAAAAAAATTATCAATCATTTTCGAGATGTGTAGCGCGAAAAGATCTTTTTTGTTTAGCGGTTTGGGGTCAATTCGATGATGGTACAGGTGTAGAGCACGAGCCTCAGACAAGCAAGCCATCTTCGTACGATGTTCACTGGCGTGGCGACGTAGGGCTATATGCCGGGGATGTCGGGCTGTACGCCGGAGATGTAGGCGACGTCGGAGAACCAG